TGTTTCTCAGGGAGCAGAGATTGAACCCTTCTTTTGCTCTATCCCAGACTTTGTTCAGTGATAATAAGAGCTCAGAAGTCAGGGCTGGACTTCAGACATGAACAACATTTCTCCCACCCTTTAATCTTCATAGTACTGGGCTATAAATTCTTAAAGCAGATTAACTCAAATTTAGAGACCCTGGCAATCCACAAGCTCTGAAAGTGGTTTAAAGAAATGATGCTCAGGATGCTTTGAGACCCCTCTGCTGCTCACCATGGACTCAGGGGCTTACCAAAGTCTGTATGAGATGGCAGCAGCTGACCACCAGTAAAATACAGACTTTCTGTAGTGGTGTATAAGTCTGTGTACCTCCCTGGAGCCTCTGTGCTGTTTCCATAAGGGTTTTTCCTATTCTTCTTTCCAAGGCCCGTGGGACTGGCCGTGCCTGGCAGCTGCCGCCTCCAGTGCCGCCAGAAACAGTGGTGTGGTTGTCACACTTGCTCAGAGGGTGGTTGAACAGGGACTCAGGGCTTTCTTGCCATTAGGTCCTGCTTGAATGCTCCCATTGATTTGGGATTTTGGATTCTTTTGCAAGTCGCCTGCTCTCTTCGAAGCTGGATGGATGTTTGTTTAAAAGTGCAAACTGACTCCTAGAAGAATTAAGGTCACCACCACCGTGTCTCCAAAGAGATGTTATCCTGCACACAGAGAAATGCTGACAGTCTCCTTGCTTCCCCAGCTAGGTACTGCAGCCATGGAGAATTCCACCTTGCCCACTGAGGAATCAGTTACTGTAAAACTGCATTGGGGAGTTGAGGTGGAAACTTTGGATCCACTAGAATTAACTGAATCCCTGAGCAGAGAGAAGCCTCTAAGTGCACACTATTGCCCATCACCAGTAGCTTCCAGTGAAGGATGCAGTTACACCTCTGTGATAACTTGGACGTGTGACAGGCATGATTTTAACCTCACTTCCATGCACAAATAGTGAACAGAAAGAGAAATACACAAAGGCTCCTTGTCACCCAGCTGCTGAAATGCTTGTAGTGGGTTGGAATCCAGCCCCATCAGTGCTGCAGTGCTGTGCTGTGAGTTTCCTGCGTGGCTCTGCAATAATGCACAGACCACAAACAGGCTGCTTGCACAAGAGTGAATCTTATTTTAGTGTCTTTATCACATGCATGTTCACGTCAAGAACTGAGCACCAGGTAGATCAAAGAGCAAATTCCACCTTCCCAGAAGGAAAGTAGTTGAGGCTTTTCTTGCAGGCCCTTGCCCTGCCTCTGAGACTGTGCTGGGAATACAGGGAGGATGCTGATTTTTTTTTTCAGGAAATGAAAGGTACTCTGTGAAGTACCTCATAATTCTGGGAATCCAATTTGTTCCTCTTCAGATAACTGTGGTAGGAAGCACTGAGCTGCTGAGAAGACTTTTGCTCATGACATGCCAGTGTGTGGGATTTTCCCTAAGAAAAGGGAATGTCAGCTTGTCAGCTCATCCCTTGGTATGTGGTTATACTGGTTACATTGAATTTCTGCTATGTTTGCTCTTGAATATGGAAGACCCAGTGGAACAGAAGCTGTGCACATATTTGCTATTATTCCCTGCTGGTTCTGCCCTCACACCAAACGGCCCTGTAAAACAGGGGTGACCTTTGGTCTGCCCAATGTAGGTGTTCTGTGTGTTGCTTTTCTGACCTGCTGGTATTTAACTCTGTTGGAGATGCTGTTGCCAAACAATGCAGGATAAAGTAGGTCTCAGGTACCCTGGTACAGCTGAGCAGGTACGAGCTCTCATCTACCTAAAGTTTAAAAATGCCAATCTGTCTCTGTCTCTCCCTCACCAGTGCTGCATAGACAACTATGAAGACATAGTCAAGCTTCTCCTCAACCATGGGGCCAATGTCAACGCGAAGGACAACGAGCTGTGGACTCCACTGCATGCAGCCGCTACGTGTGGTCATATCAACCTGGTGAAGATCCTCATCCAGCAGTAGGTGGCTTTTTGTGCCTGTCCTTTCTGTAGATCTGATTCTGCTCACAGCTTCTGTGGTTGGAAACTGAGACTGCTGAGTACCTTGTGAGATTGCAGCGGTGGTGATTATTCCCTGCTTTCAGGCTATTCACGGGACTCTTTCCTGCGTGGGGGAGAGGGGGTGGAGGAGGAAGAGCAGAAAGGCTGAGACAGAATAAAACCCTAGGTGGCTTGATTCAGTTTCATGAAGCTTCTGGAGACTGGGCTTGAATTTGCCCCTTTACCTGTATTCTGGCATGTTTGTGTGTGCTTGTGGAGCCATGGTCACTGGGTGGGTAGGAATAGGAGCAGCCACCAGCATCCACCCTTAAGTTCTTCAACAGCACTTTGGATCTTCCAGCCCAGTCAAAGAGACAGTGCTATAGGAGGGCAGCAGTGTTTGTATAGCCCAAATACCTGGGTGAACTTTGCGACCTGTCTTAACTGGTAACCAGTTAGCTTCCTGCAATGTGTTTGTTCCCCAGCGTGTGACACAGGGTGCTTGCATGAACTTGACATCACCAAGGCCCCAAAGCTCAAGTCTTTGCCCTAGACCTCAAGTTTTTTCTAGACTGGCCAGCAAGGAGGGGGAAGCCAGGTGTATTTTGAGCTGTACCATGTACAGCATTTGATGGGCACCTGCTGTGAATCCTGCCTGGAGCAGATAGTCCTGACTGTATGGAGTCATCTCCTCCATTTCCCAGGGTGACTGGGCTTTGGAATCATTAACCTACTGCTTTGCACAGCAGTGCCTGCTGCTTCTCCCTCAGAGAGGGAGACCTCTCCCTGTGATGCTGTCTGCTGGGAGATGACATTGAAAATTTGGCCCTTCTTTGTATAATGAAGCAGGCAGAGAAGTGATGCAATCAGCTATGCCTTGAAGGGATGTACCCACTTGGGTTAGGAAATCTTTGGATGGGGAGGTATAAAAATGGAGCAGATGTGGAATCACAGTGTGCTGCATGAAGGAGGTGCAGTGTGCTGCCTTTCATCCACTTCTGGAATTAATCTTCCCCACTCATAGCTCCATGGCTTTGCTTCAAATCTTTCTTATCTCATACATATCTTGGTGGCATTTGGGCACATATAAACCTAATTTAGTCTTTCTAAGCATTTATCCCAGTGTTTGCACTGTTTGCTCTAGGATGTCTGAGGTCCTTTCTTGTCTAACTCACTTTCTCCTTGCAGTGGAGCTGACCTGTTGGCAGTAAATGCAGATGGCAACATGCCATATGACCTCTGTGAAGATGAGCCAACTCTGGATGTCATTGAGACTTGCATGGCCTATCAAGGTAAGGAGACTGAGTTCATGTGAAACACAAATGGGTCAATGTGGAACTAAAAATTACCTCATTTTTCAGCTCTTGATTTGCCTCTGGAGAAAAGCAGAGAGCTGCTGCCTGGCATAATTTCTTGTACCTGACTCTGTCTGGTTACTCTGATTCCTAAAGATCATGAGGGTGAAGGACAGCTGACAGTACCCTCAGCTACATATCCTCTGCAAAGGGTGTGAGGTCATATCAAGTAGGATCATGGGTCTAGTTTTAGTCAACCAATGGAGACAAAGACCCTTTCCAACTCTTCTCTCTCTAACTGGAATTCTTCCAGGGATTACCCAGGAAAGGATCAATGAGATGCGTGCTGCTCCGGAGCAGGTCATGATCTGTGACATTCATGACATACTTGCAACTGGGCAAGACCTGAACAGGACAGATGCCCAAGGTGCTACACTGGTGAGTGAAACTGTGGCAGCTTCAGTTTTGCCTTCCTTTCAGCCCAGAGGGTATGAAACCTGCCCTGGGGCAGGAGTTACACAAAATCAACAAGTCACTGAGAGGAGAAATCACACAGTGAGGAGCTGCAGAACAAAGCACTTCTGCTGACCTCTGGGGAAATGGGACTGAAAAGAACTCCCAGTGACCTCTTGCTTTTCACTAGCCTTGTAGACTGATTGGACTCCTATAGAGGAGATGTGAGAGTCCTCTGGTTTTCATGGGAGCAGGATCTGGTGTTGGGCACTCTGGAGACTTTCTGCCTCCTCTTGTTTCTGCTTTGCATAGCATCTGGCTCACACAGAGTCAATGACTGCTATGTTTGTTCATGTAGGATGGCATCTGCCCCTGGGCAGAGGAGAACACCCAGGACAAGTGTACAGCACAAAGCAAGCTGGCATCTGATTTGAGTGGGCAGAGACTGAGCAATCCTAATCCTGTTCCCTTCTCTTTCACCTGAAAATGTGTCTCTTAAATCATTGCTTACAGCAGTCCCAACTTAGGGAAAGTTCAGTAATGAGGTCATATGTGTTGGGAGTTTTATATGACCTTGGTCATTTGAAACTTGGGTCCAGACATAACTGATATAGAGGCCACTTGGTTCATTTGATTGGTGGCCAGGCCATGGCAGTGCATTCAGGTTTCTTCATCTAAATGTCACCTTTAGCATATCACAGAAGCATAAGGGGAGGGCAGACTTTTATTGCAGCTTATTTTTTAACACATTTTCCCCTTTAAGAAAGATTATATACATAAATTTAAGCAGACCTCTTAGCTTCCCCTTTTGTAGCACCCCCAAGTGATTCATTATTAATTCATGTGGTCTCTAGAAGGTATGACCCAGTGCCATAAAATTTATCTGGAAATTAATTGACTTGCCAGAAAACATCAGAATTTATTTCCAGATGACAGTTTAACTTTGTGTGGTAGAATCCACATGGAAATTCTTGAAAAGAAGATTTCATTCTCCTCTTCAGCATAGATGAAATAGGAAGAGCTCTGAGTGGAGTTCATCCCTTCAGAGCAGTGCATAGGTCAGTGTATCTCTCAGAGATGCACCAGCAGACTGCAATTATGAAAATCTTCAGAGACATGAAGCTGAGGGACTAAAGGAGGTTATTATTGATGTCTCCAAAGCAGTGGTTGTAGTTGGAAGCTAATATCTGAAAAAACATATTCCCTTAACTAAAAATAGCCAAGGTTTAAATGGGTTTGATTTTCAAATGGTGAAAATAATTATAGTGTGAGTGCAGTTGCACAGAGTCCTGACTAAAGCAGGCTGTAAATTTGATCAGAAAATCACATCCACAGCACTTTAGTGGGGAAGAGGAGATGTCCTTCTAGCATGAGGAATGCAGGCTTACAGTGGATGATGTTCTGCATTGCAAGCTTGCATTTTGATGGTCCTGTTTCCCTGCAGATTGGGAAGCTCTTAAGAGCCCTTGATTTAAAATGTGAAAACATTATTTTTCTAACACACATATCTAAGTTATTTTAAGAAATATTGAACAGTTTCCCCTCCAAACAGAATTACATGCAGGTAATGCTGAGTTTTAGGAACAACCAGCTCTTGACCTAGTGGCATCTGCCAGCTATGAAATGTGCTGCTTGTCCCAATCTAGACACAGATATTATCCAAGAAATTCCACTGAAATTTGCTGTGTAAAGCCATTCGAGGTCCTTGCAGGTGTCTAATGTCTGTTCCTTATCTCCTAGCTGCATATAGCTGCAGCCAATGGTTATCTGCATGCAGCTGAAGTCCTTCTTGACCAGGGGGCAAGCCTGGACGTTAAGGACTGGGATGGCTGGGAACCTCTTCATGCTGCTGCTTTCTGGGGACAGGTAATGATTTTGCTGCAAGGGTGTATGAGGGTGACATTTCTTTTTGCCTGAACAAACTGTGGAGGATTCTGAAAATAGACGAACTCTACGCTGGGGCTGTGCTCTCTGGTCAGCACGAGAGAGCACACTTAGGGTTCCAAGAAGATCCAGTGGCTGAGAAAGTTCAGGCAGAGTATGTCCGTGCAGGGGAATGGTAAGAACAGTGTTTAACATCACACACATACCAGAATAATTTGAGGCGAGTTGAGCATACGTGTCATTGCTTCTGATCTCATTCCAGCTTTTCACTGTTGGGAAGGAAAGCCTAAATTGCCTAAAATACCTCTACCAACTTGGCTTTCTTTCCATTCTTTAGATGCAGATGGCTGAATTGCTTGTGTCCCATGGAGCTAGTTTGAGTGCCAGGACATCTTTGGATGAGATGCCAATAGGTGAGTTCACTAAGCTTAAAAGAAGAAATGGGAAAGAAAAGCTTTTCCCCTGAGCATGCTGGAGTCTTCACATGGTGCTTTCAGAAGGAGTAAGATAATTTTTCAGGTGTCTTTAGAATCAAAGTCGTGCTTCAGTGGGACTGAAGTTTTGAGGCACCTACTTTGTTACTTCTGAAAATGCTTTCTCCTGCTCATAAAAACAAGTGAGAAGGCATTTCTCAAGCACCAGATATTTCCCCTGTGTATTTTCACTCCTGTTATTCCTCTGTTCCTGTGCTTGGGAGTCTCCCTGCTGTTGAGTGCAGCTCTAAGACTTGGGTATCTAACTAGGGAGGCACAGTTAGTAACATGGTGCAAATGGTGCCACACGTGAATTGTCTGATAAATGGCTTGGTCTGTGTGTGCCATAGATCTGTGTGAAGAGGAGGAATTCAAAGTATTGCTTCTGGAGTTGAAACACAAACATGATGTGATCATGAAGTCTCAGATGAGGCATAAATCCTCCCTGAGTCGAAGGACCTCCAGCACTGGCAGCCGGGGGTGAGTGTGCTGTTCCCTGCAGGTCTCCTGGTGCCTTGGCTTGGCCACCCAGATGTGGTTGCAGAGCACCCTGTGGTAGGTGTGCAGAAGGAGAACACCTCATCTGTCCTTTTTGAGCAAACTCTGAAAGGCAGAACCTGACTTTTGCTTACTGAAAGCAGAGCTCCCTTGAAAAGTGGCCCTTTCACTAGGAAGAGTTGGGTTTGGGGGGTAAATGTCTTTGTGCTGTTGTGGCTTAAGAACTGCTCTGAGCAGAGGAACAAGTGGTGAGAATTTACCCTGCTAAGCTACTGAGAGTGATGTTAGATAACCAGTGCTTCAAGTGGATTAATTGGCGTTTTTCTGTAATATGTGTGATGGCCAAGATACTGTGCCCAGGTGCAGTTTGCAGAGATCTTCATGAGATGTTTACTAGACACCACAGCAGTCTTGCAGACCACAAAACTCCCTGAACAGCCCATGGACCGTTTCCCTCTACATTTACTCCACTGGTTGCAGAGTAGATCCTTTAGGTGAGCTGGATGAGATCTAACAGAGATTTGCAGTGCTGCTTTAAAACTCCTTAAAATTCCTCCCACCTTTAATATCCACACTAGTGCCTTTGCTCTGTGTGGGTGCCAGGAAGCTAAATCCACATTCCATTCCAGAGGGAGAGGCTGTGAAGCATGAGGAGGAGGTGAGAAGAGCTACAGGGTAAGAGGAAATGTCCTGTCCTGCTCACAGCTTCGATGCCCCTTGTCCCTGTCCCACAGGAAGGTGGTGAGGAGGGCCAGCCTCTCGGACAGAACCAACCTGTACAGGAAGGAGTGTGAGAAAGAGGCTATCATCTGGCAGCAACTGGGGGCTGCAGAAGAAGGAAGAAACTCGGGGCTCATTGGAGAAATTGGGGAGACTCGTTCTGACCAGGAGAATACAGACCCTGTAAGCAATCTCTTCTCTGTTCTGGGAGTCACTGAGGAGGGCTGGTAGTGCAGGTTCAGTAGCAGTAGGTGCCCTGGGATGAAAAGTTGCTGAAACATTTGTAGACCTCACCCATCAGATGTAAGCAAAAGGCTAAATTCTCATGTGGCATAAACTGGGACATCCCACTCAAGTGGAAAGACTGTGTTGGATTTACAGCTGCATACTTAGTTTTGAGATTAAAGTGACCCAGGATGTTAAAAAAAAATTAGCATTTGCCTTTTTCTTTACACAAACTGGTGAGCAGTAAAGAATTGTAAACTGGCTTTGCAGCTTTAATTCAGTTATTGTCATGTAATACAGATATTTATAGTTTTGTGTGTATGTGTGTGAGTCCTTCCAAGTTACTGTTCCATCTTCCTGGTTGGGAACCAGCTCCTGGTTGGGGCTTGCAGCATTACAGAATCCCATTAGTGGGTGAATTCAACACTTGTGCTGCAGCACCTGTCTGGAGGAAAGGCTGAGAGTGAGCAGGCTTAGGAAGCTCTCACAAGGATGAACACTACTATGGGGGACAGGGGAAGATTCTCTTCTTTCATGTCTTCTTGTTACAGAATTCAGTGCTGGAGGACTCCTCCCTCCTTCCGGAGCTGGCAAACAAAGGCATCCAGTGTGAGACTGAGATACCCCTCCAGAACGGACTGATGGCATCTGCCAGCCCTTACCAGTACACCTTTACCAATGGGGACATTTGGAGTATGCACACTGACCCTGAGAGTAACCCAGGCCACATGCTGCCCTATGGCAACCCTGTGCTCCCTGACACTCAGCAGTTCTGGGGTGCCTACAAGGAGCACAACCACCAAACGCTCTCGGAACTGAAGCGGCAGCGAGCTGCAGCCAAACTCCTCCACCACCCCTTCCTCAGCACCCACTTCAGCACTGGCATGGGAGGAGTTGCTGAGAATGTGGGTGAGGCCAAGTCACACCTAATCGAATCCAGGACTTCTCCCTACAGCTCCAATGGGACCTCAGTGTATTACACAGTGTCCAGTGGTGATCCACCGCTCTTGAAATTCAAAGCTCCCATGGAGGAAATGGAAGAGAAGGTGCATGGGTGCTGCAGAATTTCCTAGTCTCGTCTACGTATCACCCCAGAGGAAACAAAACGTGGGTGGGCTGGTTGGATCTATCACAGCAGCCAGGTTGTTTGCACTCCAAAGGGAGAATTTGGTTATGGACATCCTGACTGTGGCAGCCTCGTTCATCTTGAATTGTACTTTACCCTGCCAATTACTTCCATTGCTGCTGAATGAGTAATGCAGGTGGAGCAAGGCTCTTAGGAGACGAAGGGATGCATCAGTATGATGTAAAAAGAGTCTCCCTAGCCTTGCTCCCTGGGGAAGAAGGTATGGTGTGCTGCCTCCCCATCCTTGGGAAGTCATGAGATGCCTTGAAAAAAAGGAAGGATCTGAATTAAAATCTTTGCATCTGAGCCTCTTGCTGTCAGTCACCGAGTGGCTGGAAGGTGACAGTCCAGACCTGCATTTTCACTCTTGGGTGATGCATCTGTCCTGGAGGGGAGGTCAACTCCCACGTGGGGTTTGCAGGAGCGGACAGAGCTGTTCTCAATACAGCTGGATCCAGCACTTAACTGGGCCTGAGCAACAAGCAAGCATAGATGCTGCACTTGCTTCAGGAAGTTTGCAAGGTGTTACCTCCTTGCAGTGACAGCTCACCATCAAAAACTGTGCACTGGCTGGGTCCTGTTCTGCTCGTGTCAATTCATCACTGCAGATTGCCATCAGGTTTGAAGCAGAACTTTTCCTGGAACAGGCTTCACTCAAATAGCTTTAAAACTGATGTTGCAATAAGGGGCCCTGGCAATAGAATTTTACTGCAATAAAATACTGACAAAGGTCTATATTGGGATAAGTCATTTGTACTATTTAGACTCTTAATTTGTTAAAACTGAAAAGACTTTTGTTGATCTCACTTTCCTATTGATTCTGTTTGTTTACTCTGTATGCTCAACACAGATACTAGGGGCAGTATGCTTTGCATTCTGATTTTTTTTTTCTGGATTTCCAGAACCACAGGGCTCAGAAGGGATGAGGAGGAAAGGCTTGCCAACACTAACCTAGAAACGCCACGAAAGCATTTCTAATCCCCTAGATGTGACGACACTTGCATTAACCTGCAGTCTTTGGCTGATAAATAACTGTTAAACCATTGCTTTGGTAGTTGAACATTGCAGCAGGACAGGAGATTTTTTGGTCTGTTTTCCAGCTACCATGCTGAAGTCATCAGCAGTGGTTAGCAGCTGTCAGAAGAAGGTCTAAATGCCTCTGTGTCTGAGGGAGTTGCCTAGCACCTTGCAGTACCTAGCAAAGCCTCAGTGCTGTGAGCAGCTGGCACGATGACACTGGTATAGTTCACGTGAGCTCTGACAGACCACTTGAGAAACACTAGCATGGTGTAACCTGGGGGTTTGGCATTGACTTTTCAACAAGTTAAGGCTTTGCATACCTGGGGGAGGTGAGAGTAGAGTGCCCCATGGGACACAGCTCTAAGGAACTGGCCATAGTCCAGTTGTATCTACAGAAGTAACTGTAAATCTTCAACCTCTTTTCTGCACAGAGGGGCTGTCACACACGTAACTATTTGCCTGCATGAATATGTGTCTTCTTGGGCAGCTTAAATTCCAAACTCTGGAGACATAAGCCTGTTTGGAACTCTGTAAGCCATCAGTGGATTAAATCCAGCTCATGTAGTTGTGCTTCAGCCAAGCAACAGCAAATGCAGCTTCCACCCATCTTCCTTTTATCTGGTGGCTGTTAGACATCAACATTTCACACTTATACTCCCTCAGTGGGAATCCTCACAGCCTTAACTTTTTTCTAGGCTATAAAAAGTTGACTTAGGCTGCCAGTGACTGTTAAGTGCTACCCTCTGCTCCCCATCCAACCTAGCCCATCTCTAGGGCCAGATATATTACAATACAGGGCTCTGGGCTCCTCATTCTGAGCTCCTTGAGGCAGCAGAGGTAGCTGTGTGTCACCACCACAACCACAGTGTGCAGGAAACACTTTTGGCCTGTGAGGTCATTACCAGGCTGACAATTTACTCTTTTGAACTCTGAAGATACAATTCTCTTTTCTCACAAGTTTTAGGAGCAAATTAGAACATGGTAGCAGTCGATCTGGTTCTTTTAAAACCTCAGTTCAGTTAAAGGCAGTTATTTGCATGCTTTGAAATGTTCAGAGGAGTTGGGTTTCCTCTGTTATTGAAACACGTATGCTAAATATAAGACTAGAAAATACTTCTTGTGCTTGACTTTAAGCTTGAGGGATTTTCAAAGTCATTCTCGAGTAGAAAGAAAATTATTTGGTAACTGGAGAGACTTTAGCACATCTGTGTGTGGTTAACTGTGGGTCTTGTGATTACCTTGAGAAAATTCTCCTGGGATAACACCAAGTGTGGCCTGGCTATTACAGAACAGGGGGAGATGATCTTTTGGGTGCCTCTTTTCTCCCACAGTGGTGAGATTTGTCTCTCCACATCCATCCTAATGAGGTTTCTGAACTCACTGTAACAAATTTTGGTGCCGCTATCCTCTAGGTTGTAAATGGTGCAAAATTCAGGCCCAGATGTTGCCTTCCCTCCCAGCAAAGGAGGAGTTGGGCCCTTTTCCTTCTCAGAGCAATTCTATGCTATCAAGTGTATTGAATCGTGCCTAACTCCAAGGAAAAGGAAGGGAGATTGCTGAATGCAACAGTGTGAAGTGGTTTGAGGCTTGCTTTCACTGAGAGTTGTTAATGTATTAAAACTGTGGAATAGGCTTTAGACTGTAAAATTTAGCGGTGTTATGACAATAGTGGGGGTTTGATATCTGTATGTTTAAAAGACCATCCCAGTGGAATGTTTGAGGTACACAGCAGAGGGCACTTGGCTGTTTCATTGGATCTTAATATGGCAAAAAAGCTCTAGAAACTAGAAATCACTTTGTGACTGGCATATCTAGCACTTGGTTTATCAGAGGAATATTTGGGAGGTTTTATTACGTACTGACTGGTTTTAGGTTCAATAAATATCTAGTTAGAGATTCAGAGTCAGATTAGAGTCCACTTTTGCTGTCAGTGAGCCAAAAGTTGTAGTTGTTCAGACAGATTGCACAAAGATTTGAGAACGTGGATGTATTGATGGGTATGAGAATGGCCCTTCTGCTCACAACATCCTCCTACAGGCTGAAGTTGTACTGTTTCTAGCAAGCAAACTGGAACTACATTTTTTATATAGGAAAAAAAAAGTTGTTTCTGCTTTACTGAGCTCAGCCAAGAAAGTCCCAGCACAGAAATGCTAGAGAAGGGCGTAAGTACCTTGCTGGGATGTGTTTGACATCAGACCTGGATCTGTGTTTCACATACCAAGTGATGTGATTTTAACCCACTTAGTCTCACTTCTTTGGTGCTCTAGAATCTTAAAACCCTCCCAATTTTGGAAAGAACTGACTCTAGCTGATGTGACTCTGTGCCATCTTGCAGGTGTGGTTGAAGAACCACATGGATGAGGAACTCCTGGTAGGGAAGAAGAGCATGGCAGAGCAACAGCAATAAGGACTCAGTGCAATACTCAGTGGCGGCAGCAAATTCTCAAGTTTATTGTGCAGGGTCTTATTTCATGGGGTTGAAATCACTTACAAGCTCCCAAATGTTGTAACAACTTCTGTCTAGTGTCCCTTTGCTTTCGTCTTGGAACTCCTCTCTGCTGAAGGTTAATCAGCAATACCATGGAATGGGAATATCTTAGCTGAGAAAGCAATAGCACTGGTCTCCAGTGAGCCATGGATGAACTGTTGTCTGCCTGCTGGAAGGTGTTCTCCCTACACCTGGGTATTTCTGTGCCTTATAATACTTGCTAAAGGTAACCTGTCTCTGGGAGCTTTGTGGTGACTACACAGTGCTGTTCTTTAACTTGGAGTCTGTTTTGAAAGGGGATAACAGTTCAGAGCGTGCCAGATGTTGACGTTGTTACTTGCTCTTTCAATTTCTCTCATGATCCCCACTTCTCTCTTCCAAAATACACAAAAAGGAAATAAACAGGGTCGTCATTCTGTTTTAGCAAATCACATTGACCTACTTTGTTGTATTAGTTCTCTACAGACAGAATCCAGAACACACTCCTAGCAGCAAGATCTCACCTCTTACTACAGAACACAGCTAATATTTAAATTTTCTGTTTTGTTTTGCCTGTGGCTGTATAACAGAATGTTGTCCTTGGTTGTTCTTCACCTTTATTGTTTTCATGTTGGTCAAACTGGTAATGGACTTCTCAGTTCCCTCACACAATTCGAGTACCACTGGGCTGTTCAGGCAACATCTACCATGGCATAATTACAACCTAGAATATTTTGTTATATTTCAATGGCAGAAGCTGTAGTAGAGGAGACTCTGCTCAAGATCCCTGTTCCCAAAGCTACACCAATGCAATGATCTCCACCCGTGGCTGGAGGGGAGATACAGGTTTTTAAACAGTGCAGATGCAGCCTTAGTATTGCCACCACTATGTCTTCAGCCTTTAGATTGCAGTGAGAGTGGGTGCAGGAGTGTGGGTAACCCTGGAAGAGCTTGGCAGGACTGCTGCACATCCAGGACAGAAACAGATGAGGGCAAGCCTTCTGCAATAACTCGTAATTCCATCAATCAGTAGTAAAAGATGTACAAATAAAACTTGATGAAATGTATTTTATGTGAAAAAAAATTAATGTAAGAACTGTATATTGTATTAGCAGCTTTGTGTATAAAATGGCATTTTGGCAATCAGAGTCTAATATATTTAAAACGTTTTTTTAAAAAAAAGGATATTTGATATTGTATGGAATTGACTTTATTGCTACTGTAAGTATGAAGATGGTTTCTTAACATGTTGAAGCAATGCATAAAATCTTAAACTTTATGTAAAACTCATGCCAAAAGGGTATGTCTGACAGTATTAGCACCTGACTCAATGTCTTTAATAGAGAGATTGAATTTTTTAATTTAAAAATTATATTAAATTTCTTTTAATAATACAGAAATGCCACTGAGGGTTTTTTTTAAAAATTGATTTACATTTTGGGACTCTGCTAAATGTCTCT